TCTGCGAGGGTTCTGGCAGGAAAATGTGTACCAGACCCCTCGAAGATCTTTCGCTCGCTCACTTCGCTTATCAGCTCAAATTCGCAGGCTTCGCCTCACAGCCTGCTCGTGCCACAGACGCCAAACAGAGCCTGCTTACGGGCTACGAATCTATCAATTAAATTGGTAAGCAAACATGCAGAATTCCACCTTTTTGAGTGTTATTCAGTCATGCATGAATCAAACTGTATACAAGTATAAACGGTGAGAAACATTTGGCAAAGAATCTAAAAATAATATTGTCCACCCTAAGCTATTCAACTTGACCCGCAAAATAATCTTGAGTTCTTTTGTTATTTCCGGTTTAAAACCAGCCCCCGAGTTGCTCACTCGTACGGCGATCGCGCGTGAGACGGAAATTTCTAGCCACGTTCGTAAATTCGCAACCGAGCCTTCCCTTGGAACAGTTTAGGAGGAAATTAGTTCAGACTATAATCGAATCTGTTTGTTGATAAGTTTTTTATTTAGTCCCGGTACCGCTATTTTTCCGTATCAATGCGTTCATGATCCTCTCACTCAATTACATTTCTTATTCTGGGTTAATTTTATGCAACGGATGTAGATATTTAAATTTTGATTTTACGGAGGAAAGCGTTTTTGCCTATTTAACACCTTTTCAATTTAAAACGCATCCAGTTGATCTTAAAACGGGAGAGAGGACAACGAATCCGAACTTTTAAAAGAAAGCTCGTATCTCTTAACATCTGTGGAATTTGTTCAATTCTGGTATAATCGAAAAAGTTGACAAACTCGATGAAATTATAAACTAAACTGAGTCAGAAAAAACGTTAACAGATAAAATAAAAAGATTTTAGTCGATAACCTTAATAATTGAGTATTAATCGCTTGGACTTTTCCCTAAAAGCTATGCAAAGATCTTTAAACTACATTAGCAGCACAAAAAGAAATTGCTATTTGTTTTTTTTTCGGATTATATCTCCTCTTGGAGATGCAACCAGTGAGTGAACAAGTAAATTATGGAAATCATTTGGCTGAAGAAGTCTACAAGAAAAAATAAATTTATCCTACAGAAAGATTGTACTTGCGAAAACAGGAAGTTCTAGCTCACCTTGTGGTTAAAATTGGAGTTTGGTCAATCAATGTGTTGTTGTATCTGACCGTCAAATGGTCCCCATCTTTCGATTCTCTTGGACAGTCGTCTGGTTTTCGCATTATTCCAACTGACAAATGATCTCGTTCTTGTTCAGGTCTTTCATGCGCATAGGCATAGACGAACAAACAGGCAATAAATGCTAAAGAAGTAAAACATGAGGAGCTCATTTTCGGCCGGCTCACGAAAATATAGAGAAGAATTCTTAACGCAAGTTTGAAACGAACGTGAAAATAGAATATGCTGCACGAGCGAGTCAGCTGTTGAGCGCTTCTCTGCTGCAAATGCGAATTACAACAGATCTCTCGTCGACAAATGATCTTACGGCAGATGACAATATGTCCACGTAGTGTAGAAGCCAACCAAAAGATTTAAACGTGGACACAGGTTTAATCAATATTCATATATAGCTGGAAAACTGGAGCATTCATACTAAGAACGCCATGTTACCTAGGAACGAACGTCAACTCGGTATTGAAAATAACATAGCCTTTCTCTTCATAAATCTAAAACAAAACCGTAAAATTCTCGGTCAAATGGACTTCATAGCGGTAACAAAAAACAAAATTGTCGTTACGATTGTTATTTTCTTCAGTAAAACACAGAAAATTGATCACCGGCCGCGGAGAAGCTCAATTATTTGGCGCAGAATATTACCCTATTTCTAAATCAAACTTTAGTCTGCCCTGAATCAGTAAAAAGTGTCTGGACGGTAAGAACAACAGCTATCTTAAAGAATAAGGTTTTTGAACTTCAAAACTGAATTTATTACCCTCGTGGCAAAGGTCGCAAAATCTCTTTCGGAAAAAAAATATTGGATGAGGTCCCAATTTGGCGTGAACTTCTAAAAATTAATTCATGTTTCGGGCTTCTTGTTGACAGAGGTTCTTTGCAAGAACTGCATGTACTGCGGGGATAATAGTCATATTTTGCACAAAGAACACATGCATTACTGGCCTTTTTACATCAGCGCCACAGGGTAAAGAATTTCAACTTTTGAAAAAGAACGACGTACAACATTACATCTCTGAGGCAAAAGCCACCCAGGCGAAACTTAGGAAAAATTAAAAAATTTTCCTTAAAGATTTAAGAAATAACGGGGAATGAGGAATACACCAGATAAAATTTTAGTTAACTTGTATTAAACCCATCTAAAGTAAAATAATTTGAAGGTTATAGTCTTCATCACAAGAAAGTACTCTTGAAAATTCCGTGAACCAATGATTCTATTCAATCGCAGTCTTGTATGTTCTGAATCGGCGTTTTTCGTTGCGTAAGGTTTGCGCAACTTGAGCCAAAAAAAATCCGTAAACGTATTTTCGATTAATTTCAACTCGTTATAGTCTCTAACCCCCAGAACAGCTCTTGATGAAACATAACATTCAATTCATCCGAATTAAATCCAGAAATTTCTCGTTAAACTTCTTTGATCTTGCAATAACAACAAGGAATGTTCGATAACGAGAGTACGATAAATGTTTAAATTCTCTCAACTTACAATTACACCTATGCATTAAACGAGTTAAAAAATAAATTAATTAACGCAATTTACTATAGTGACGAGCAAAAGTTTCCTTACTACAAATGTTAACATGAATTTGCAAGCCAACGACACGCTCGACTTGAATAGTTTCCAAGAGGAATGATCTGTGTTTTATTAAAATTGATTTTTGCAAGGCAGGGCTAAATTGGTGGCGAGGTTTTCCCAGACGGTTTTATGATCATCTCGTTGATATGTTTTTTGTCAACGATAAACGCTGTAAGGTCCTATAAAATGCACAAAGTAGATTGATTCATACGAAAAAGAACACCTTTTTTCGGACAACTTTGAAAATCAGTTCACGAAGTTAGAAAGTAAAAACCATACTGACATTTGGTCAAGAGTACTTTATGACACTCCACCCAACTTTTAAAATTGAAAGATGAGGTCTGTGCCTCTGTAACCTTAAGGTCAACTCAATGAAAAGATTGCTCTTTACGCCTCTAATCAAAGGAACATCGGTAGATCATTGCATGGGAGATTAGTCCACAAAGTTGAGATAACTCCTAGAGGTTGTATTAAGACTTAAAAGGGGCTCTGTTAGTTCGCCTTAAACTGGCCTGAAAGTTTTTCCGAGGCAATGATTATTTTCAGATTTTGTCCAAACGCACGATTCTGACAAATTTGTATCCGAAGCGTGAAAACTAATCCAATGACAAGTCGATGTTCGTGAGTTGATGCATTAAAATCGCACGAAAACAATTTTACTTGCTTTGCTAAGGGCACCAACTTCACCGATTATGGACAAGACACCAATGATTCAAGAAACTTATGAGTTTTTATGACGAACGATTGTAACAACTTTCTATCTCAATTTGTACTGATTTTGTAGGAAAATGAAGGGCCTCGTTTTGGTGATGATAACCCTCGCTCTGACAAATGCACTACCCCTTAAAAATGGAAACGTCACCGAGCTTGAAACAGAGATAGGAGACACATTTTCGCTTTAATTCTCATTTGCTGTCTTTAAAAATTTTATGATTTCGCCTTAAAAGCAATGGTAAATCATACACTAATTTCGTCTTCTTTGTTTTCTGTCTTTCTTTCTCTATTAGCGATGGTCGTGATCCTGTGAAGCTGGATGAGGAGAAGATTGGTAAGTCTTTCAGAATATCTGCCATTTTAAGGAAGAAACACCGATACCTCCTCAACACGTTGTTACTATTATGAGCGATTGCAAAATCTTCCTATTTTTTTTTCTTATTCCTCAATTTCATACAGGAAGACTCCACGAGGACTGGTGACCAAAAGAGATTAAATATATGGTTTACACCTGTTGAGATTTCTCGTTTGTTTATGGTGGACTTATTCAGGACTGAGTAAATTAATTGGATAATGTGATTCTTGAGGAAAAGCTTACATGATGTTATTGATTTTAATCAAACGGACTTAATTTTTAGATGCACCCATGAACGATCCGGCTCCAGACCCACTTTTTTACAAATTAACCCCAACATTGGGGACATTACGATTATTAATGGACCCGGCAATGGATGGAATTGGGGAGCTGGAGGCTCTGCCACAGGAGGAAATGGTGGAGGTATTGGAAGTTATAGGATATGAAAAAAGGACTATTGGTGAGTAAATTAGTCAATCCGGCTTTTTTTTTTTTAGCATGTCCGTAGAAAGTCTATCATTTAATAAATAACTTTTCGTGAGCAATCCTGATGTTGTCTAAGAGACGATTCAGCATCCTAACAGTCGACTTCTGTCATAGACAACTTCATGATTGGTTTTCGCCTGTGGAATGCATAGAAAATTGTACGAGGTATTTGATGAAATCTGAGTATTGCCGTTTTCCAGGCTTGAGCAGTATAGTTGATATACCTAGTTCAAGCGTTCGATTATTGAAGGAACTTTGAAATGATCGATTTGAATTGAATATATTAATTTTTCATAATAATAATCAGTGAGTCGAAGAGCGGGGACAAGTCGCTAGTTTTTCCGTCAAGATTTTGTAGTAGTTGACTCACGCGGAATTTTCAAATATGCACTTAGTAATTGCAAGCTCTGTCATTGTTAATCATTTTTTTATTGATATACTAGTGTTTTCTTAATTTAAGGTCAAAAATTGTTATCAAGTCTATCGTTTTTATCTTGTTAAAAGTTTTTTTACCTTTTTTTTTTTAAATGTGCCCATCAGCAGAGGTATTTTTGCTTTATAGTGTTTGACACAGAAATAAAGTTATTTAAGTTACATATGGATAAATAACTGTAAAAGAAATAATGTAATAAAAAAGTTAAAAACACAGTTTTTGAGATTTCCTTGTTTTCAAGTCCCTACATGCTTTAGTGCCTCTGGTTTTGTAACCTGGCCTTCTGTTTCCCACAAGACATGGAGGATCTGGATACGAGATAAAACTATGGAGTGTCACAAGGAAAAACAGTTCAAAAATTCTTTTTTTAATCATAGTACAGTACTTGAGTTAACCCTTTACAACCTAACATCAGTATAGACATTCTTCGCACTCTTCTCCATACATTCTCCAAGGTGCTGACAAGGAGAATTTGTGTAACAATCAACAGCTCCTCTAGCTGCTGATAATTTTCTTTATTCTCATGACCATACTGCATGATTCAGGGGTGATATTGTAAGGAGAACTTAGATACTAGTCACTCTTAGGGGCTAAGGGGTTGAGGCAACATCACCACTAGAAAAACACTACTGTGTTGAAACAATTTAATACAGTAAAAATTATGAGAACATGCACCTATAGACTGAATGACCGCGTGAAAATAACCTCTGAAATACACTTTTTTAACACTTCTCTAGGTTAGAAGTGTGTTGATGAATTCTAAAAATCTTCCATCTGTTTGGTCTGTTGGGAATTTCTTTATCAGGGAAGACTGAAAATGAAAATATGAATAATGGCATTTAAGAATACACAAAGGTAAAAATGCTTATTTTTCAAGTCTTACCCTGATTGCTGCTAGGAGCAGCAGTGAGTAATAATATGTTGCTTCCCCTCCTGCATAGGGGACTAGTAAACCAGCCTCCCCCTCCCATTCCCCCCCCCCTCAATTCCCCTCCCCTTGATGGATAAAGGAGAAAGTGACTCTCTTCTTTTTTTAAATTTGCTCCCTTTCCTTTTGCACTCACTGCATCTTAGGCAGAGAGAGGTCTGGGTGTGAGGCAGCTGATCATCTGTTGTACCTTTCTCTCACAAATTTTGATTTTCTGCATCTATGTTCAAATTAGAGGGTTTTGTTTTCTAGGGTAATGGCTACAATAGTAAATTTACATGGGGAGGGGGGGAGGAGAGGCAGTTAAAAAGGGTTGAGGGGTGTGACGATAAGAAAAGGCCAATAAGTGTGGTTGCAGTTCCACGTCAGAAGCACAACATCATGACAACAGTCAACACTACAACTAAGATTTCTCTCACATGCCAATGTACACCACTCTAAAAAGAAGGCAGGATCTGTTGTTAAGTCTATTGGTATAAGACACTGATATTTGAGGATTCACCTTCACTTTGTCAAGGTAGGTTTGGGATCCATGCCAAAAGTTGTTGAAGTTTATTGCATCAGGGCCTCCCTTGTAAAAACTCCACATCCATCTCTGAAAAAATATCAAAAAAAGAAACTAGTTAGAAATACAAACTTAAGTGCTAGTGCTTTGAAATAGTAGCTTTGAGCCATCATTTCATAACAACAACATGCCGCCACAGGATGGATTAGAGGTGCATATCAAGTTCATCAAACAATTTATGGATAATAGTGTAGGTATGCACTTGATTTAATGGTTAAAGTTCTTTTAATGGGAATAAATGGTGGGTCAATCTTAACAATCTTTAACCATTTAACTCCCAGATCAAATTTGTAACTCTCCTCACTGTCAACCATACAATTTTTATAATATTGGTTCAGAGAATTTAGTATTGGATCAAATAATTATCCCCAAATTGGTATTTTTCTTAATTTTTGTCTCCTATCTGGTTGATATTGTATTGATACTGTAAGGAGAAATTCGGTCTTGGTCACTCATGGGAGTTAAAGGGTCACATCCAGAGAGAATTAATAATAATTAGTCTAGAAAAGGGTTTTGGCCAAGAATTAAAAAGTTGATGACAGGTGATATTTCAATAGTTGCCAAAGAAACAATTTCTACCGCCAGAAACTCCTACATTACTTTTGAATACTTTTTTTTACAGTAGTTTACAAGTTCAGTATTTCATAAACTTTCACATTCTTTGATCTGAGATGTTTATCAATTATTTACATCCTATCATCAGTATACACATTCTCCATGCTGTTCTTCGTACCTTTCCCACAGCACTGACAAGAAGAATTTGTTAGACAGTCACAAACTTCTTTTATCAGTAGGTGATCATGTCCTTTCTTCTTGTGACCTTACTGCGTGATTCAGGGGGTGATATTGTCAGGAAATGAAACGTTTTCATTCCTTGCGATGACAATTGCGTTTGCATTATCATTTGCATTGGGGTAGCTCACATGTGTAAATCCTTGCATTTGCATCCGCATCTGCATTGCCTGTGTGAACCAGGCTTTAGGAGCTAAAGGATTAAAACAATAGTACATATATCATACCAGTTCATTGAGAAGATCTTGTGTGAGAAACTGATCTTGATGCAGGGTGGTATTAATTAGCATTGGTACACCAAGTTTTTGAGTTTGACCTTCCATTGATGTTTGAACCCAAAAAGCCCGTATAACTGATTCCTTTGTAGTTCTGTAGGTGTCATAGGGGGCTAAAAGGAAAAAGGAAATAAAAACCCCGTCAACACATCATAATGTACTTCTCTTATGACTTTACACTTCATTTAACCCTTTGACTCCCTGATCTTGTCAGTAATTCTCCTTACTGTCTGGCATACAATTCTTCTGATGTTAAGGTAGAGAATTTGGTATTCAATCAAGTAATAATCCTCTAGAGTGTTCCAGAGTTTTCTTTATCTCATTACTTGTCAGCTTGATACTGTAGGGAGAAAATTCTGTCTTGGTTATTCATGGGAGAGGGTTAACCTGACACTTGACTCACTTTCAGAGTGTTTATTTGATTGACTGAGGATTGCAAATTTTTTTGCAGTTTTGTACATAAGTTTCAGGGCTTGTCAAGTTACATGTTGTTTGCTGCTGACTACTTGCCATGGGACCGGGTTGGTTCACTTGCACCAATAAACTGTAATGATGGCCATTTTGAAAGGTGCAGTAACATCGAGAAAGAGGTTTTTTGTCTTGTCATGAACGTGGGATAAAGAAAAATCTGAATCCCCACCATGAATTAAACCTCAGAACTTTGGATTCTGCACTGCAACTCTCTACCATGGAGCCACAGGGACTCTACTGTGAGCAAGGTCTATTACAAAGTTCATGTTCTAACCATAACCCTAACATGTTTTAACATGCAGTAACATGTTAGAAGATCATTGGTTCTGTTTCTGTTTGTTTAAAGTTCTATGGTTAGAGTACCTGGGACCTACTCTTCTGTTGGAAGGATTTTTTTGCCCCAACTTACACTTACTCATGTGGGTAAAAGACTCTTTTTCTCTGTAATACAGTAGCTAAATGTGAAGAAAAATAAAAATGGGTATTTAGCAGTGGACATTCCACAAGGTGGCTCTTCTTATCCACTTTTTCCTGGTCAAATTGGAATTTGAAATGTTTGCTATTAAGGTGGATTGAAAACTGGAAGACCCAGAGGAAAACCCTCTATGCAAGTACAAGAACAATAAACTCAATCTTCATGTGACCTAGGTCCAGGAATTGAACCTAAGCCACAGTGGTGGGAAGTCAGTGTTCCCATCACCACTGTGCCATCCCTGTTCCCCAAAATAGCTTCCTTCACTCCCTTAACCTTGGATACACTTACACACTATGATACCCAAGCAAGCTCCATATGGTGCGTTCTCCTGCTGTAGGATGCTCTGATAATTCAACTGATTCTGAATATCCTGGAGCGATGGATCAGGCTGATAGGATGGATGACTATGGTACCAACCCACCAGAAAAAGTCCTCGCTGTGCAATTGCATTCCTAACCTGCAATGACAAGCATTTACATGTACCCATGAAATCAATTTTAATTGACTTAGGAATGAAATACACGAGCATGTACTATTGAAGAAATGATTCCAACAAGTGATCTTAAATTAACCTTAGATGCACCCTATCATCAGTGTAAATATACTCTATACTCCTCTCTATACATTTCCTTAGGTGCTGACAAGGAGAATTTGATTAACAATCTATGGTGATCATTTCCTCTATTCTTATGACCTTATTGTTTGATTCAGAGCTGATATTGTAAGGAGAAAATAGACTCTTAAGGGTCAAAGGATTAAAGAATTTCTTCAGGCTTCTTCTCTCCAATTTCTTTAATTGCAGCTCTCTTGGGAGGATCACAGTCACATCACTTATGTTTGCATGAACAACATCAATTTCCCTACCTCTTCCTCAACTTTGAGTGCATTTTCCTTGTCAGCAAATCGACAGCGACAGGGGAAAGCCTGCACAACCTTCATGTCTATGGAAAAAAATATCCAATTAGAACCTTGAGTAATACACAAACCTAAATGATATTGTGCGTATAATTGAAATCTTGGGTAGGCATACTGAATAGGTTTCACTTAAGGAATTTTTATGTCAACTCTGTTTTCCTTTCCTTGGGAATGAAGCCCAAAAGTAGTATATGTATTCTATAACAGTTGCATAAATGTAGCTATGTCCAAAACAAGAGAACAGTTATCCCTTTACACCATAAGATCAGTATCCATAATCTCCATACTCTTCTCTGTACATTTCTATTAGTACTGACGAGGAGAATTTGTTGAACAATCAAAGCTTCTTTGGGTGGTGATCATTTCCTTTATTCTCATGATCGTAATGAATGACTCAGCCATATTACTATGAGGAGAAATTAGATGTTGATCACTCTCAGGGTTTAAAAGGTTAAATGACTCCTATAGAATTCACTTACGGTGTGTTTGTGGGTCAAACTGCCCCGCTAAATATCCCACAACTTCACTGGTTGTGAGATGACAATGATAATCCTGGAAAATATACACAAAGCTTACAGAAAACATCTAACAAATGTGCTGAATAACATCACTAATATGGCTATTGGCTGTTTTTTCTAGACATTATCATCGAAAAATCGTTAAATGTTCTAACAATTCTCAAATTTTCTAAAAATCCCATTTAACAAGTTAAAAATCCTTAGAAAATCCAGATTTTTGTATTCAGACCTATTTTATCCAAGTGGCCTAAACCAGGCAGAGCTTATCCCAGATCTGTAGCATGAAGCCACATGCCCCTTCCCCCACCTCCCCCTTCTTCCTCCCAACCTGAATAGAAAGAATCTCATAAATTAAAGTGTCTTTTACAAGAATACCAAGTCTCCTGCTCTGCATGTCTTTGAGCTGCTAGCTCATACACTGTATGTGACCTTGCTCACACATGGGTAAAGTGCTCTTGAAAACACTTTGATGATCCATTTATAAGGATTGCTTAATGAATATTTCCATTAGAGAGTAAAGTATCAGTGTATGATAGCAAAGTAATGCTGCTGCAAATAGTGTGTACAGTTATATCATGTACATACGCCTAGAGACTTACCATAAGTAAAAGGCAGTTTGTCGAAATATCCACAGAGAATGGCTGCATTTTTCCAGTGGCACTGAAGTTCACAAGTTCAACCAAAGTGTGTGGATCACTAAGACAAACAAAAAAGCCGTTATGAAACTGATAAAGAAATGAATAAAAGGGGAAAGTTTCTAAAGAAACTGTGGTACTGCATTAGTTGGGGAGGGGGGGGGGGGGAGGGAGAGAGGGGTTTTACAATAATTTGGTTCATCAACTGATTTTTTAATGTCATTTGGCACCGGTAAGAGTGTCAAAGGTGACATTTCAAGAATTTAGCCCATTTTTAACCCTTGAATGTCAGCTTCAGAAACTGCATACATTGGCCAATAGGCCATTTTACAGTTGTGTATTGACTGTACTTGCCAAGCCTTTTGATTTGGACTGAGGATAAAGGTGACCTTGTTGTAATGGCGTCCAGTATTATTTTAGTAAGCATGATAAAAAAGTCATTTACATTTGAAAAGGAGCAATGTTTGTATCATAACAAGGTCTTACTCCTGTTCAAAGCATGCAACTGTAAGATGGACTATCAACTCAGTTGACAGAACCAACTGATCGAAAAAGAATTTTTTGTACCATTAACATTGTTGTTGGTAACACTTTCTTCACCTTTCAGAAGTCACCATCGTGTGCTTGCTTGATTGCCGAGTTCTAACAGCTGATCGTTTCCTACCTGCAGAGCCTGGTGGGGAGGACAGTGGACTGGGAATGTCTGTAAACCAAACAGAATGACTTAGATATTTTGACAAATGTTGGAAGATTATGAGATTTGCAATGTTAATGCAAAAAAAGACAATGACCAAAACAACTCACCCACAGGGCTTCGAAGAGAACTTGATGTTACTGACTTTGATGAAGACGTTGGTGTGACTGCAGTTGGTGTGAAGACTGATGGTGATTTGGCAGGAGGTGGATGGATATACCCAATGTTTGGCTTCCTTCTGTAATGATGTAAAATAACAGAAGATATTAATTTTCAGAACAATTTTCCATAAAGAATTGATAACAAAGTAATTTACATTTGAAAAAAAGCAAGGTTTGTATCATAACAGGGTCACCCTTAGCCTCATTCCTGTTCAAAGGCTTGGCAACCAAGCTAGCAATTGTAAAATGGAACATATGATAGTGGATCAACCCTAATTGATATTAATTGATATTGTTATGATTAATCTAGTTTCAGTCTCAGAATTAAAGAAAGTCATGATGGATGCTTCAAACCAAAAACAACAGTCACAGGCAATAATCAAGCAACCTGGGGCCACTTAAAAAATAAAAAATGCCAGAAGGGGTTAGATTTTAATACAATTGTTTTTAACTTACCCTCTCCCTGAGGGTGTGGTCTGTGTATATGGCGGTTTATAGAGGGATTTTGTACCAGCTGACCCAGACTTGATTGAAGACGATCCAGGTTCTCTTTGTGTGGAGGGTTTTGGAACAGAAGCTGATGTGATTGTTGATGATGATGATGACGTAGACAAGGATGAGGGTGATGTGAAACTGTGCACATCACTATGACTACCAGATGGTTTGCCAGATGGTGTCTTTTGTGATGAGGAAGTTGTCGATTGGGTGGTATGAGCTGATGACATTTTTTGAGAAGTGGTTGGTGTATCACCATGGCTTGATGATACCTATTGTGCAACAAAACCACAGAGTTACAAACAATTATAATTCATCACAAAACTACCAAAACCTTGAGACAGAATGCAGGTGTCTTGCAAAGGAAAAAGCAATGATGGCAAAGACCAATGAAATAAACTTATTCCGAACTCATTCTTAATCCTTCACTTCCCAGAAGTGATCAACAAGTAACTTCTTCCTACAATATCCATGCAATATCCAGCAAACAGGTAATGAGAATACTCAAATGTCTCAGGTACAAGTTGTCATCTTGATCTAGTACCAAATTCTCATAACTTATTAACAAGGAAATGTGTAGCAGCAAGAGGGGAGAATTAACAATCAGATCTTGGGAGTTAAAGGGTTAAAAAGAAAAACCCTGAATTAAAAAAAAGCAAGAGTTTTGCCCTTGTTGGGTCCTTGCATGTCTAGGACCTGGATCAAAAACTTCAACCCAGCCTTTCATCCCTCCACAAAAACCACTTTGACCCTTTCACTATTAAGACCCTCGATTAAGTATCAATCCTTAACACTTCTTACAATAAATTTGTTATTTTAGCTTTGAAAATTTGGCTTTAACTCAAATATTAGCAGAGCTTGCAGAGGATAGCCCCATAATTATACAAAATAGCAGTAACCCATAGAGCCAAAAAAATTTGGATGTACAACTGTACGACTGTACAAACAACCGTACAAGGTGCTACTTTTAGCATGCATGGCCAACTGTACCGTGGGCACTATCTTATAATCAGTCCTCTACACGGACACGGAGAAGTTGCAAATGAAAATCCATTAATATTACCACGCACTTTATCCATAGTAGGGGCTTTAGTTTTGTTGAAGAGATGTGTGGGAAAAAAAATGCGAGCTCTGCTTTTAGGCTTGCCTAAATCTATATATTATCATCCTGGTTGATACTTTTGTAACTTCATGTCATCTTTCTGCTTAAAAAGCTGGGTTTTAAGTGATACTTACACCTGAGTTTTGCTTCCTAAACCATGTTGTCTTGAACTGATCCAGCTTTTTACCTTTGTATTTTACCTTTGAAAGAAAAAAAATACAAGCAAAATCAACATTTGTATTTTTCTTTATTCTAATTACTTATCTGCTTGCTATTGTAATGATATTGTAAGGAGAAATTCAGTCTTGGTCACTCATGGGAGCTAAAAGGTTAACCACTGAAAGCTGGTATTAGGAGAATGATAGCTACAAGGGATGCGCATTTTCTCCTAGCTCTCTGTTGGTGTTTCTTCCTAACTTTGTACCTCTACTTTTAGCAATTTGCTCCTTTCTATCCTGCATTGGCAGAATTAGGCATTACTAATAACTGCTTTATATAAAATTTCTTTGACTATAACTAGGACCTTTCTAAAATCCTAATTCATTAATCAAAGCTTCTTAATTAATCAGTAATATACAACATCTTCCAATTGATGAGTTTTCTCATCACGTTGCCAATGAAAAGTCTCTTCAAATTCTGAAGAGAAGTTACATGTTTGAGAGTTACAGCCAATCTGTAAAACAACTTACTGATGCCCATCCACAGCCAGATTTCTTGGAAGGATTCACCAGCCTCTTACAGTAGATTGCCCAAGCAGAGGGCGAGTTGAACACTTGATCAGCCTCTGGCCATCTGATTCTACCATCAGGTTGGAGATCAGCCACAAACTTCTGGCCCTGAAATTCATATCAACTACTTAATACTGATAATGATGACAAAATAGAACATTGTTCTTACTAATGTCTAGTAATAATGAAATTCACAATCTCATGACTGTCAAAGTACCAATGATCATGAATAAGGAAACACTAAAAATGAAAATTATACTAATAATAATAAAAAAATTAATAATAACAATACTAAAAATTAATTACAGAATTTCTCCTTACATTATCAGTACAATATCAAGTAAACAAGTAATGAGAATACAGAAAAATATTTAGGGGATTATTGGTTGATCCAATTCCAAATTCTTCAAACTAACATCATATAAATTGTATGGCAGACAGCAAGGAGAATTACCAATGAGATCTTGGGAGTTTACAGGGTTAAAAGTGATAAATGTAACTGATTTTTGGAATGACTGCTTTTTGTTTGATATACAATATAATATATAAATTTTGTGGTAGTCTTGACCTAAACGTTAGTCACTGAGCTTCAACGAATCTCAAGAAATGAGGTTCCATCCTTTTAAAGGACTTAGATTCATGCTCAGTTCAAATTTGTTCTTTCAGCATTTCAAGCCATTATTCTGTGACTATTTTGGTTGTTATGGCCAAAGAAAAAATTTTGGCAACTAAATGTTGCTGCTGAAAGTTGCAATTTTACTGCTACACATTTCCTTGTAAATTAGTTAAAAGAATTTGTTATTCAATCTAGATAAAAATTTCTTCCTGATAAGTTTGGGTATTCTCACTACCTGTTTACTGGATAATTTATGAATACTGTGGGGGAGAAGTTTCAATACATGTTAATCACTTCTGGGAGTTGAAGGGTTAAAGTGCAATAAATGCTCCATTATTTTCATTGATAAAAAGACTTATACCCTTTGTCCTCAGTTGTCTAAGAATTTAGCCTTGAGATATTGCCTGGACCTCTAAAACAAATCACCATTCATTCATTGCACAAAATTCCCAAGTTCCATTGTCTTGTTTTCAATTTTTCGTGATTTTCCCCTCTATTTGGGTGTCTGGAATTGAATTTGGTGGTAACTACATTAAACTTGATTCTTTGAATGGCAATTTTGAGAACTAATGAGCTTGACGCCATGCTCTGTCTTCTCACTCCTGTTCTCCAAATGTATGAACTTACACCTTTTGCAATAACACTTCAGAAACATTCCAGTTTCAAAAGTAATGTAATATCATCTACACGTAGCTGTTACACTAACCAAGTAATCAATAGAAAGGCATTTTTCCCCAGGTTCCATCACTCCATCATCAAGCAACATGCCAAGAGTGACACCCCGCCCTGTGAGAACAGATCGTGGTTTTCTTCTTCCCTTAGGTTTAATAGTCTCTTCCAATATCTCTGTGTCATCGCCTTCATCTTCGTCATCAACATCATCACCATCTTCTTCTTCATCCAAGTTATCTTCCTCCATGTCCTCGATTTCATCTTCCATTATCTGAGCTGTAGCGTATGCACAGTACAGTTAATTAGACCTTTACATTGTTTATAATAGTTAGCAGCTTGTTTTGTCAACAACTAGTTTACCAGTTACTCTAAGCTTTTTTCATCAATATCCTACACTATACCTGCTAACTCTCTAGCATCTTACATTTGCTCTAACTCCCAAAAATTATTAAAATGTAACTATTTCCTTTCATATCCATACATAATCCAGCAAACTGGTAAGGAGAATACTCAAACCTATCAGGTAAGAGTTGCTATCTTGATCTAAAACAAAATTCCTATCACTAATTTACAACAAAATGTGTATTAGCTAGAGGAGAAAATTGACAATCAGATCTTGGGAGTGAAAGGGTTAAGGTCTATTTGCCTACAGTTCGTATATGCATAAAATAATCTTTGTGTTACTCCTTCAAAGTGACAAATGCAAATTGAGTCTGTCTACTGTTACGTGTAGCAATTTTCATCTCTCTAGAGATCCTAACTCGTCTAATTTACCTGTTTTAGTAAAGCAACAGTGTTAAAATAATGATAAAGGAAAAGAAGGAGTTTCATCACAGCCGGAGACATATGGCAGGTATATCAATAACAATAATAAGTGACACATGTAGAAATTTACTGCATAGACACCAGCACAATACGAAACACACACATACAAAAATAATACAACTTTCTTGCTTATTGTCAGTGAAGAACTTTGATATAATGCTTGCTATTGTTCTGAGATGATCTTTGGAGTAATCAGGGGCCTTTCGTTGATGAATCTCGCATTTGTTTGAGTCCTTCGAGTGGAAAACAGTGAAGAAAGATCAACAAAGCCCTCTTGCATGCAATGTAGCAACTTTCGTGAAACATTCGAGGGGTATTACATGTAGATCGCTGAAGTTGGTAAAGAATTTAAGAGAAGGATAAGACTTACCCATGACACAACAGATCACGGCTGAATTATGCACTTTTTCAATAAAATCCCTCGCTCGTCTAGCGTAGTCTATTCAAACAGCGTGTTCGCCAAGTGTTATGCGAGGGAACTAGAGAGGAGCGAAGAGTTTGTAGCGTGGGGGTAGAGGTGGGGAGGAGTTGTCATAGGGTACTGCGCGGGAATATTTAAAGCGGGTGACAAGAATTCCAAAGTGTCGGCTTCTTCCTTCTTAGTAAAAGTACTGCTTCAAAATTTACCATTTTTCTCTTATTTTCACAGTTCTTAACCTCTCTTGTTATTTTTAATCTAGAACTGACTTGGTTCGGGTTCGCTGAGTTTCAAGACACACCAGAAAGAAGATTGATGCCCTGAATTTGGTCCACGTGGGAAGCTGATGAGGTGAGAACAGGCAAAGTTAAGTTTTATTGTGTGAAATGTTTGGAAATAGGTAAGAGTAGAGTTACTCTTTAAATTGCATTGTTTATTCCCTGAACCAGTTAAGCGGAGTTTAAATCAACTGACTAGATCTGAATAAATCTCACGAAACTTCAAAACTAGAATCGGGCTCGGGAGAGTTCTGTGGCGTGGGAAAATAAAATATTTGCAGACTGTAGACTGTAAATTGACGGACACTGACTTTAGACAGATGAAACAGAAAACAAACGCGTTACTGTGCATATATTTTTTAATGTACTGACACCACAAGCTTCAAAAATTTACTCTCTTTACTTTATAAATAAATATTTTGACTGTCACTGTAGGTAATATGAGTTAGACTGTTCATCAACAGTCCATTTACATTTAAGGTAGCTTTGGTGTTTAATTCAAATTTGCAGCTGTGAATTTTGACAGCAACAACTGATCATGGCAAATTGCAGTTGTTAACTTTGTGAAGTTGAACAGACAGTATACTGTCTAATATCATTAAGCATGAAGATGGGTATTTATTATTTTTTGTACCATTTGCTTTTAAATATGCTTTAATTATCTGGAGTTGATGCAGACTTTGACATGACTCCATATTCATATAATGAAAATAAATTCGCTAAATCCAAAGGTAAGTGAGGTAAAGATGGTAAAAGAAACAGTAGAAAAGACAGTCTCCCCTTTGTCCTCCTCAAAGTTCATCATGTTGGCGAAGGTGTTGATACATTTTGCGTTCAAATGTAGGATCATGTTCTTTAGCACTGTAAAACTTGTGCAGGGCTTTTGAAATGCGTCCTTCGATATCTGCCATAGCAATGTCTTTGTCATGTGCTCCAAGACTTTCCACAATCTAAACTCAAAAGAGAGGATCATTTTTATTTGGACAGTTAAAAATTACAATTGTGGGGTCTTCAATCACTGTTTGAAATTTGCAATGAAGAAGTGGCCTGCATATACATGAAGAAGTCCATAAATTTGTGAGGTCCACAGCTTGGGTGACTAAATTGTTATTCTTCAAGGAGCTTTTGAGAGACTTAATTCTGATAATGATGGCCTCTCTCTCCCAACTAGAATAAACTGGTGACATGATGTTGAGTAAAAACCTGCCACACTGGTCTAAATAATAATAGTATTATTTCATACAAACGCAGAAAAAAATATTTATTTGACAGTTTCACAGGATGGATTAAAGGATGTTTTAAGGGTGTATAAAACCTTCTCTCTTATAGTTCATCTTCATATGCTTCCAAAATACCAACATGAAGCAGATGTTGGAATCTCTTATTGGGAAGTCCATTTTATACCCCTGGTGCCTATTTTATTGTGAATACTACATAAACATAAGCCATTATTGAACCTCCTTAATGTACCAAGTAACTACACCACACATGCAACCATAAGTGCTTTACCTCTGTAGCTTTAGTGTGAGTTCCTCCAAGACCCTTTAAAAACACAAGGAAATAAGAATAAAGACATTTTCTAAGGGATAAAACTGTGACACACTTTAGTAAGGGTTTCAATTCTGTTTCAAAAGAAGGCAGCATGGCTGAGTGGTCAGCAACTTGCTCTTGCAATGCAGAGGTTGCAAATTAGAGCATTGCTCTGACTGCCAACTCAGGACCTGTTTCTTGGTAGCCCCAAGTTGAACATGCTCTGTGCCTTGCATGTAAACAATAAACTTGTCATCTTTCTTCTAGATGGGCTTTTTAATCTTGTAAAGCTACTATTTAGTGCAAGTTTATCTTTTGGTTTTGTGGTAGGGTAGATATATTATGCTCAGAAATTCAATCATTAACTTTTTTAGTTTCACCCAGAAAACACACTTAGTATCATGCTCATGATTTTGCATAATGTTTTGTTTAAGAACTTAATTAAAAAGCTACACAAATATGGCATTTGAAACATAATTATATATTACTGAAAATAACCCCAAAACTTCACTATAAATCAAAGTACTAGAAATGTAATTATAGTCAAGTATTTCAGTTATTTTGCCAGTGTTATGTTCAATGCTCTGATCATAGCAATGTGCCCAAAATTATGCCAGCATAGGGTATCTGAGCCTATTTTGAGGAGAGAGTGAAGTGTTTAAGTGTGCTTCCAATATAAAAAAAAACTATTCACAAATTTATATATATAGTTTTTTTTTTACATGTATATGTACCTATTAAGCCACATTCTTGCAACATTTCATATCAATTTTAAATGGTAAAGCTGTCAAACATATCAACTGACCTATATTCCAAGCAAATTTTTCAAATGCAACTTTGAATTCTTACCTGTACATAGCTTGAAATAAACTTTTCTTTGTCAAAGATTCCTCTCTTATCATGGCACTCTGTCAGCAAAGCCCTGTGGAAAAAGAATGCACTAGATTGGGTCATGCAAAATTTGTGAATTTTCCCTCCGTTTCTTGAGCTGAGTAACTGTAAGGAACCTATTTAATATTACCAATTGTTAAATAGTTGAAAATGTTTTAACATGATGTAGAATAACATTATTTGATAACAACTAAATAAAAATACAGGGATTGACAAATACAAACCCATCAATTACTCACTCAATGTAGGGAGTATCAATGTGGCTATACTCAAACTCTTCAGTGTTGGAAACATCATTTGGATCAATAAATAACAAGAGCTCTTTTAACTGATCAACAGTCAGATTCTCTATATATCCACGAGTTACAAAACCTTTGTGATCAGGGTCAAGGTATTCAACCAACTGAAAAGGAAGAGATGGAAAAATTAAGTACAGGGCAGGCTTTACTTTTAACTAGTGGTCCATTTATCATAATTTACTTCACCTACAAAGGTTGAAGAAGTCAGCAACTCAAACAACCCTACCCTAGTGCTTTTGGCACTCAACATTTCCATTGCTGTGGACACATCACCAGATTGCAAATGTTTGTGAATTAATTTACAAAGAAAAGAATTTAAAGATAAGGTATGAAAAAACTTTTGCCTAAAATTCATTAAAGCCTCAGAAATCCAAGAAGTATTTTATCACAAATGTTAACTTGAAAGGAATGAAAAGTATGATACAATCTCGCTTACTGTAAAGAAAGGGTAGGATAAATTTTAAAAAAAAATTGCATATCTTAGTGTGTAAAATAATAAGTTTGCATGCCCATCTAGCTCAAACTACGGAGACATTAATTTCTTGGCTAAAATTTAAGTGGCATTGCACTAGTAATGGGAATCTGTTTCCTTACCTTTATTACTCTCTCCTGTTCATCTTTCCTCATTACATCTCTCCTTCTACTTTCACTTTGAAAGTATTTTTGTACAAAATCTTTAAGCCAAATCCTTCCCTCGTTATCAGCTAAGGTTAGCAGAAAGCGTTTCAAAATGTAGATGTCCATATGGCCTTGACTAAGATCCCCATACCCAGAGTACTGCCATAACACCCTCACTTCATTCATGGGTGTAAAGGAAATGTTTACGTTATCACAGTCTTTTTCTGTGAACTGTTTTAACTGCGAGAACCAAATAGATACTGCAGAGTTCATGTAGCCCCAGGAACGCACTTGGTGCCAGTAGCCTGAGCAGCAAAGGTAACAAATGATAAATGTATACCATTGCCAAAGCATTTACATTTTGTCCACTGTAGACTAACTATAAATTTCTGAAATTAAAAAAACATTGCCAAATCTATAGACAGTACCGCTCAAAAGTAAGTTGACAGTCCCTCGTACCTCAATCCGCAATACTCGATACTTGAGTCTCAATTCTCAATAGTTTCGAGTATCAAGTATTGAGTATCAAGTTGAGACTGTCAACTTACCTTTGAGGGGTACCGTAACATCTTTGTTTAATCTGATAATCATTTAGATTTTACTCAATCTACACTGTCTTAGTGCAAAATGTCTCATTATCACATTCAGATCATTATCAAATGATAATCATAAACCATGTGAAATCCTACCTAATATTTACATGTGCTGTTCAGCACTTCATTAAAGAGTTGTCTTAAATTTTCTTTTAAAATTTATCTTAAATTAAAGGATATCAACTCTTGCAGATGAAATTTGGTGAACACCAACGCTTACCTCCAGGCATGAAGATACAGTCGCCCTTGTTCATTCTGACTTTGGAGTAATGTACATCTTTGATCTTTGGAAACTCGTCTAGGTCAACCGAGTCAATGTCTATCTCTGAATATCCTCCCCATTCATATTTGGAATCATCAGACATGTAAACAAGATCTGTTTGATCTGGATGAACAAGAAGCCAGTCTTTGGTGCCATTAAAAATACAATGTATATTGCTGAAGGGATCCTGATGTAATTTTGTTTTGCCGCCACGAGCACTGAGAAATAAGTGGACCTCTTGAATAGCCTCAGAAAAGGAACCACATCTGAAAAGTGTAAATTTTTTAAAGAGCAATTTAGAACTTGAGTTTTTTTTAATTACGGTCAAAGTTTGGGAGTTTATAGTTTTCCAACACAAAAAGTATTCTGCACACTGGAAAGATTACATCTGTTATAAGTATAAGAAGGAAAGTTTAGGAAACAGAATTTTGGTCAGAGTCTGACATAGGGTAACTGTAGCTTTAATTCTTTGGGTTTTTTCAAGTGTTTTTAAAAGGTTTTCCATGAGTTTAGAGTCCTACATGTATCATACCATTTTCATAACAACCTATGTTTCAAACAGCCCTGAAATCCCTTAAAAATTACTTTTATTATTAATGACACCATAGAGGTTCTGAAAATGATTTCCACAATGACTTGAAATGCAGATATCTTTGAACCTTGCAAGAGTGGTAGCGAGTTATATGCTCCTGAACCAAGTGATTTATATAACCAGGGCTTAACTTCTCTGCTAAGGGGTACTTCTGTTTTCCTAGATGGGATACAACTTTATTTTAGGGTTCATTAACAGTTCCTTTTGTATCCATCATGATGCTTCAGGGTACTCTTGGAGTATGTACAGTCTTGCACAAGAAGACAATACTGGCCTGAGAACTCCTGATTTCAAGTGCAGCATGCTATAAAGCTATTGGGGTAGAATTATAAGAAAAGGACCTTTGAGGTTGATTGTTTAGTATGAATTAACAGGCTTTTTAATTAATTTATTGGAGCCCTCAAGGTATACAATCACATATATATATATTTATATAATTTATAGGTTTAACCTTAAGCATGGAGGTATTCCTATGTCTCTTTCCATCGGTTGTGGAATCTGTGAGATCACATATGCATCCATGGTCTGATAATTCTGTATGAAATGTTTTATCGTGTCTCTGCCAAGAATATCTGCTTCCCCAACTGGTAAACGATCATTTGCTTCAGCACGTGCTTCAAGACGTACAGTGAGATCTCCATACTCGGAGATCAAAAATTCTTCTGTCCATAATTCATATGCCCTTATGATGAAAAGAAAACAAAGCAAACTATATACTTGAACTAAATATTTCTGGCCATGCCACTTCCAAGATTTTTTAAAGACCTCAAACTGGTTAGAGATTTGTGTTTTGAAGTCTCCTTACCCTCCTTATGGAAAGGGATAGTCTGTTTTCAAATGCAAACTCAGTAAACAAGAAATTGTAATGTAATCATTATACTTGGATAAATAAAACAGCTGCTGAACTGATTAACACCCCTATCTATTAGTATGGATAAATACTACTGTTTTCATCTGAAAATAGTTTCAGAATACACCTGTTCCCCAGGTTTTGTATAACTTTAGTTCCCTTTGCAACATATCATCCATGCGCACAATGAAAGAAAGTCCTCTTCCATCCATTATATTTTCTAAGTATAAAGGACAGTCTGAAATTTCAGACATGTATGTATCCTGAAACAAGTTGAGTCAGTCCTAATACTTAAAATGAAAAGTATTGAAACTCATCTTATTTTTCTTTTTTTTGTCGGCTTAGGCAGTCAAAAAAACTGAATTTTCTCTCAGTTATTCTTCCCTTATCAATTGCTCTCTTATACAAGGCATGTTTTCCGTTCTTATTTTCTGTGTTACAGCAACTTCAATTCTTCGAAAAGTTTTGTTTCTATGGAGTCTCGCAAACAAAAACTCGCCGATCACTCGCGATTAAAGTAAAAGATAATAATTCTACAAATTCATGCGTGTTTAACTTAGTTATCACAGAGAAACTGGTTAATCTTTTTACCTGGAATGTATTGCGGCTCCCCTAAAAACCACCGGTTTATTTTTGGACACATAAGTTTCCCAAAACTCTGCTGGGTGCGGAACTGCACTGATTTCCTGTGTAACAACATCGGGCTTTCTATGCTGACCGAAAGGCTTTAAATGTCCTACGAGTACTTCATCCAAGCAAACGAAGGGTTTAATGGATATTAAAGAAAGGACATAAATCAGCGCATTCGCTTTATGCATTTTTACCTGTATGTTCGGAAAAGTCAATGACTCTTTTGATACGATCATGAGAACAATAAACTTAGAGCCCAGTCGATCGTTGTCTCATTCAGATCGAGGATCGAGTGAGATTGAGTTTTACTCATAAAGGTCGCTACAGTTGGCAATTTTCAGCAGATTACTGCGAGATTATGGCAAATGTAAATTTGGGCACACGCTCTCGGAATTCTCTGTATAAGATTGCGTAAAATTTTCAAATTAAAGTCAAGCCCGAGGAATCTGTGCGACGTTGCGTGACAACTTTGAAAACCAACTTCGTTCTCAGGTTCCTCTCATTTCCTCCCACGTGACTGAGTCACAACAGTACTTTAGCGGTCGCTGGGTGACCGCAACATTCAGGTTGACTGCTAACTACAGGTTCTGCGGAATATATTTGAGACGCAATAAAAAAACGCCCTCTCATGTCACAACAGATCACAAAATGTACATTTAATTTAAAAACTCGTTCAAAAATGCATCGAACCTTCGTTAGCAAACAACATCAACAAAGTGGTAGCGCACCAGGGCAAAAGGATTACTGTAGGCGGTATATTATTACTATAAACAGTTGGACCTCTAGGTCATTAACGACTATCAGCCAGCAAAAGACTTGCGAGGTTTCCAGGAGTGATATTCGTCCTAACTGCTACAAGAAGAAATATACTCTCTCGGTTGCAATGCGTTTAGGACAATTGACCCAATTTAACTCAAGGTACTAACATTGTTTTCGGAAGATAAACACGGAATTGCTTTTACTTGAGAGATTATCCTCAGTTTTATTAGAACGATTCCGCTTTCACGGACTGTTTAATACATGTGAAAGACAATTCAAACAGGCCGTTACGACTCAGTCAAGGGTAACCACGACCGCTTTTAACCCTTTAACTCTCATGAGTGACCAAGACAGAATTTCTCTCTACAATATCAATACAATATCAACCAGATAAGTGATGAGAATATCAATTTGGGAGATAATTAGTTGATCCAATACTAAATTCTCTGCACTGACATAAGAATATAGAGCACACTGAAGGTCCTAAAAAAGTTTCCAGCCTGAGTCTCTTCAGTCTTCAGCCTCGATCAGTAATATTGTTAGAGCTGCAAAACATCAATGGAACAAACAAACATTAAAATGCTTTTATTGGGTAATTTTAACTCCACATATTTCCTTTTTTAATGACTAAATGGATCCTTTAATCGCGTTTCTACAAAATACTGACGTTTAACATACGATTACTGAACTAAAAACATAATTTCATCGGCGGTGATTCATGTTGGAGTTGAACCGGAAAATGAACCGATCGCTGTTCACCTTTTAGATCTCCCGCCACACCGGCGACGGCGGCTGAACACGTTTCACATGCTCTACTGGAAAATGAAAAGCAAGAGTTAGTTTCTATATGAGCCCAGAGGCTAACAAACTGAAAATTAATACTCCTAGAAACTACTTCCTCCACGGTCGGAAGAACAGGGAGATTTACTCGAAAAGAAAGCAGCATTACTGCGTAGTTTTGTTTGCGCGTTCAAGTGTCAATAGAAGCTGTCAATCTTTTCCGCAACAATGTTTGGCTTACCCTGGTCATGCATAACCATCATGCAACTGGGAGTTTAGTGAGTGACTATTTAGCTATCGCTTCGAATTCTTCTCCCTCCCGAAAATCTCAAAGGATAAACCGTAAAAAGCTTACCGTTTCCTCCCTCGTTTTGTATCGCAGGATTAGGTTCATCGTTCATGGTGGCGACAGGTTCCTTGAAAAAGTAATTTAATTGAGAGTAGGTCTATTTACTCCCTATGTTAGACATACGTCAGTATAGAAGCCCCCTTAAAGAGATATCAATAGATTTCGGGAAAAGTGCACCTCTATTTCCTGCTCGGGGTCCTCTTCGCTCTTGATAATGAATGCCTTCGCCAGACACAAAGCCATCAGCAACAAA